ATAAGTAGTGTCATGCCAATTGAGCTAGATGTTCCCCGAGACCATGGTCCCCAGAGCCCTCCGTCCAGCAACTCAGTCCCTCGGGGAGATTGGATCTGTCCATGGGGTATGAAGGTCTCTTTTGGTTTCTTGCAATAGTGTTTTGTAGTTTTCTTTGTATAGTCTTTTACGTCCCTGGTTAGATTTATTCCTAAGTATTTTACCTTTTTAGGGATATTATAAATGACATTGTTTTCCTTATTTCCTTTTTGAAGTTATCTTTGTTAGTGTATAGGAATCCAACAGATTTTTGTATGTTGATCTTGTATCCTGCTACTCTGTTGAATCTGTTTTAGTTCTAGTAGTTTCCTTGTGGAATCTTCAGGGTTCTCTATAGGATCATATCATCTGTGAATAGGGATAGTTTTCATCTTCCTTTACAATTTGGATGTCCTTTATTTCTTTTTCTTGCCTTATTGTTCTAGGTAGAACTTCCAGCACAATGTTAAATAGGAGTGGTGATAAAGGGCATGCTTGTCTTGTTCCCGTTCTCGGGGGAAATGCTTTCAGCCTCATTGCATTGATAATGGTGTTGGCTGTTGATTTTATATAGATACCCTTTATTATGTTGAGGAATTTCCCTTCTGTTCCTATTTTATTGAGAATTTTTGTCAGGAATGGGTGTTGGACTTTATCAAATGCCTTTTCTGCATTGATTGAGATGATTGTGTGATTCTTTTGTTTCATTTATGTGGTGGATTATGTTGATTGATTTTCTAATGTTGAACTATCCTTGCATACCTGGTATGAATCCCATTTGGTTGTGGTATATTATGTTTTTTATATGATGCTGAATTCTATTGGCTAGAATTTTGTTGAGAATTTTTGCGTCCATGTTCATGAGAGATAATGGTCTGTAATTTTCTTTTTTTGTGGTGTCTTTGCCTAGTTTTGATATCAGGGTTATGCTGGCTTCATAGAATGAATTTGGAAGTATCCCTTCCTTTTCTGTGTTCTGAAATAGTTTGAATAATACTGGTGTGCACTCTTCTCTGAATGTTTGATAGAATTCTCCAGTGAAGCCATCTGGGCTGAGATTTTTTTTTTGTTATTGGGAGTTTTTTAAAATTACCTTTTGAGTTTCTTGTTACTGGTCTGTTCAGATTTTCTACCTGAGTTTGTGTTAGTTCAGGTAGGTAGTGTTTCTAGAAACTTGTCCATTTCCTCTAGGTTTTCAAATTTGTTGGAGTATAGTTTTTCATAGTATTCTGTTATGATCCTTTTTATTTCAGTTTGGTCTGTTGTAATGTCCCCTATTACACGCCTTATTTGGGTTATTTACTTCCTCTCCTGTTTTTCTTTTGTTAGTTTGGTCAGTGGTTTGTCGATTTTGTTGATCCTTTCAAAGAACCAACTTTTGGTTTTGTTGACAGCATGGTGCATCTTTCTAGGGTGCTATGTTGGTTCCTCCTCCCCTTTAAAACCTTTCTTGTGCCTAAACTTGATTTGATGTCTTCCTTCTTTAAGTTCCCTAGTGATGTGAAGAAAATAAACTAGTATTTTTGTACGTGTATGCCAGTCCTTTTCTAGGTGCATGTCCTAGATGCTTTTACATGATTCCTTTGTATCTTTTGTAACAGATTTTAGTTATTGTTTGTAAGTTTTTCTGTCCTCATGTGGTTATAAACTTAGGGCAATGTGAGTGATTTTTTATTTGTTCTTAGGGACCTATTAAATATTTGTTGGAAGAGTAAAAGGAAACATGGATGAATGATGGGTGTTCTTAACCTCATTGCCTGGTTGTTTCCTTATGTATGAAATGAAGGGAGATGAATTTCATTCTAAAAATCTAAGAATATGTCCCTCATACTTCATTAAATTTTAACACCGCCCTCATCACAGATAAACATTTGCACTGTTCTCTCAAGCTTTAATGATAACACATTATGCCCAAGTGGAGCTAAGTATAATAGGTATATTTGTGTCTTTACTCAAGTTACCGAGTCACTTATGGTACCACAAAGCCTTTTGTATATTGTTGCCTTTCTTCTTTCCAACATTGTTTATAAATAGTGCTCAGATTTAAGAAAAATCAGGAGTTAATAAAATATTTTTCTAGTGTGTTAAATATTATATATCTTGAAGATGATGGTTAAATAAACCAACTCTTGCATTTTTCAATATATAAAAATGACTCTTTAATTTCTTATTTTACATTTTAAATTTTTTGTATATCTACCTTTCATATTCCCAGAATGGCACAGAGAAGACATAAAAGAGTAAGAACATGGACTCGTCATATAAACATTTTTAATAAAGATTACATCTTTGTGCCTGTAAATGAGTCGTGAGTATTTCATATTATTTAAAAATAATATTGGAAGGAGTCCAAGATATTTTGTTGGGTTTCTTGATTAATTATTAATAAAAAGTATGGGTACATAAATTCTGGGTGTTACTTTTGTTTTTTCTTCTCTTAAATAGTAGCTATAGCAATGCATTACATATGTTGGATTTTGGTTTGACAGTGGTTATTTTGTAAATATAGTGAAAAAAAGAAAATAACAAATGACCACAAGACTGATGTTTGAGACATCGACATTTTTTATCTTTTGGTTCTCAAGAGAAGATACGCTAAATAAAATGTCAAAAGATTTTAAGATGACTTTTCAGGTGTATTTAAGAGAAAAAACTCAGTAAGTGCTAGTACAAAAAATGGTGATACAGATTAGTCTGTTAGGTCTATTTATTAAAGCAGATCCTTAGGAAGTTTGAATTGTACTCTAAGTATTACTTAATGCCCTGGTAACTTGGGATATTAATTAGTTTGGAATGTGTGCTTTATATACATCAGATATTACTGTAGACTACTCTTCAAAATTGATATGAAGTTTAAGTCATACTCACTTTCTGAGATACAGCTATTGAATGTTTTCTACATTGTTTAGATTTTGTATGTTAAGATTGTATTTCTTTTCCAACAGGTCTCACTGGTATCTTGCAGTCATTTGTTTTCCATGGTTAGAAGAAGCTGTGTATGAAGATTTTTCACAAACTGTGCCCCAGCAATCCCAGGCTCAGCAGTCTCAACAGTACAACAAAACAATAGGTGACATGCTCAATGTAGAATGGTGTTTGTAATAATTACGACAGCAGTATAATGGTTACAGGGACTGATAGGAAGTTAAAAGGTAGCATAGTAGGTATTTATTGTCACTAAACTTATTAGAAGGAGGAATAAGAAATCTGAAATTTCACGATAGATGCCCAGCCTCATTATAATTCTTAAGTTATACTGTTACATCAAGTTTTATCATAGCACTTTTTATAGAGTAGCCTTGCTAATATAAGACTTTATGCCGTAGATCTTTAAGCACAGCTTGGAAATTTCCTTTTTTTTTAATATAAATTAACACATTTCTAATAGATAATACTAATTCTTCTAGGTAATATAGGGTCTCTTATAATTCTGTAATTCTTCCATGATTTTTTTAATGTTTCAACCCAAAATCTTAAATAAATAAACCTAACTTCTTTGTGAAAAATGCCAAAATTATATGTGTGTTTTATAGCCTAAGTTGCAAGCAGGATTAATAATAGTTATTACCATAATACTGGCCAAAACCTAGGGGGATAGAAAAAGGAAAATTGATAAAGCAACTGATTATTTTCTGATTTCTCTAATCCTCCTGAGCTTCAAAAGTGTACTTATGCAAAACTCTATTATCATAGATTAGAAGAACCATTACTAGGCAAATTAACTATTCTCCACATTAAAGCAGCAGGTGTTTTTTTTTTTTTTTTGAGAAAATATCCACAACCAAAGACACCATTTCAACAATTCTACATGTACACTTCAGTGACATTGGTTACATACTTCAAGTTGTGGTACCATTTTTGCTATTCTTTTCCACACTATTCCACCACCATTATCTTAAACACACTGCCCCTAAGCTTCCCATCCAATCTTTCAAGTTGCCATTATCAATTTGATCTCACATAGTTAATTCTTTAAAAGAGCACAATGCTCAAAGCAGACATACTTTCCTAATTAAAATAAGCTATTTTTTGGTTCAAAGAAGACTTCAGGAGATAGTTTTGGTTTAAAGATTAAAGATTTTTTCAAGGCAGTAGTTTTGGGGGCTTATGCAGCCTCAGTGGCTCCAGAAAGTCTGGATTCCTTTGAGAATTTGGAATTCAAAACAGCAGCTATTTTGATTAGTGAGCTGCCTTTAAAGATTGTCTTTTTGTAGCAAAGTGGCTCAGCTAATTAGTATTGTATTAGAGTTTGGCTCTGGATTTATGTATTGTCTGATAATAGCCAGCCATTGTTAGTTTTATCTTTTGATTGAATTTTGTTCATAATATTAACCATGAAAAAATTTAAATAGATCCCAGGGGTGTGTGGGTGTGAGTGTGTGTGGGTGTGTGTATATATATGTATATAAAATTACTGCTGTGCATTCAAAATTACAATTTAAGCTTATCTAAATTGTGTTAGGCATACATTAAAGATTCATAATCACTTCATTATTTCTAATTAGATAATGATCTACATACTACTTCAACACTATCCTTGGGTGCAGAGGATTCCCAAGTAAGTTGTGTTCTTTATAGATGTGAAGGAAGGAAATTCACAAGTGGGCTGTGGTGTGTATTGGCAGCCCATAATCAAATTGTGCTCTTTTATGATTCTTTGACAATTTTTGTGGGAGTGGGAAAGCGAACAAGAGATTTATCATTTATTCTTATATCTGTTTATCTTGCTTTTACCTCCCTAGTTTATTAGTGTTTTATCTGATGTTCATCATGGTTGACTAGTTTCTAATTTCTAAGGATCACTACTTTCTAATTTCTGAAGATCAGATTTACTTTTATTCTTCAATTATGTCAGCAGCTTTTTTGAACTTAGTGTCATTTACTAACTTTAGCAAGCATATTTTGTATACTACTTTCTATATTATAAGTTGTAGTTAAAAATCATTCAGAATACACTCAAGGTCAATCCGTATGACTCCTGAGGTTAAATTGAGTCATTGTTAACTTTTCTTTCTGTGAGCCTCCAGGCTGGTATACATGGTCTAAATTTGGTGTCCTTATTGATTAAAGTAGTCACCAAATAAATTTTTCCTAGGTGCAGACAGCAGCAGCCTCCTTGGCATAGGCTTATGTCTTTACTGCCAGTGGTCTAGGGTGGGCAGGAAGAAAGAGGTTCCTTTTCTGTTGTCACAGTGGCAAGATAAGGAATTTGTTCCTACTTCCAGGGCTAGGTTTCCCAATTAAGTTCCTTGGAATGCTACTTCTAAGATACAGTTTACGATAAAAAGGATTTTAAAGTCAGTTAAATTGGGTAAAACCTGTGTACTATTCCTGTCTTAGAAATTCATTGTGCACATTAGAATAATAAGGTATTAAGAAGTCCTGCATTAAAGAAACCTGCTTAGGTTTGAGTGATCTATTGTTTCATAAATTTATTTAAACTAAACAATATCAACAATAAAAACAATAACCACCCCCTTCCCATTTCCCTTAATACAGATTAATACTCTGCTTCTAGTGCCTCAAAGGGAAAAAATGTGTCTTTACTGATACCATAAGTCAAGTTAGAGAATGTATGTAAAGAGAGGTTAAATTAACTTGTTTATCTTGGCCTAAGATGCTAACTCTGAATAGAAGTAAAATTCCACATTGTTTTTTCAGCCTTGTTAAAGTTTCATACTCCTTGAGGCCACATGTAAAAGGATATAAAGTACTGTTTTACCACTATGAAAAAAAAAATCAGCTAATTTTTGAAAAACGAAGTTCGTTCGCTCACTTAAGATAATGAAGAGAACTCTTATTTGAAATATTAATTTCAAAGTCATTTGAAGCATTTTAAGGAGTTGCTGAGTATTAATTTATTCAAACTCGCTTTAATTGCAACATCCTAAAAGTTCATGTTATTTCAGAGTACCGAGATGAATATGTCTGTACCAAAGAAAATGTGTAAAAGGTAGGTGCATGCTATAATAATAATACAGTTTTTCCAGATATTTAGGTATACTTCATATTTAAATATGTGCATCTTGCTTTCTTTTTTTTTTTTTTTTTTTGCTTTTCATAGGCCATGTATTCTCATACTTGACTCCTTGAAAGCTGCTTCTATACAAAATACAGTTCAGAATTTACGAGAGTAAGTAATGACAATTTTACCCATTAGTCTGTTATCTAAAATTTCAATAGTTTTGAGCCTATCTTAAGAATTATTAAAAAGACTATCTCAGGAATTGTAGTTTATTATGCATTAAGATGAGGTCTGCAAACCTAATCAATAATAAATTAGCCTGTTGTGTGTTAATATTTCTCAAGGATTACATCAAAAGTAAATTAGGAATTTGTATTCATAATTGAACAAAAAGCATAATTTTACAAACCGAAACTCATTGCCATTGAGTCGATTCCAACTCATAGCAACCCTAAAGGATGGAGTAGAGCTGCCCCCTAGGGTTTCCAAGGAGCCGCTGGTGGATTCGAACTGCCGACCTTTCGGTTAGCAGCCAACCTCTTAACCACTCCTCCACCAGGGCTACAGTTTTACAAAGACATTATCAAAAGTACCGTTAAAAGGTACACAGTCTACAAGACCTCCCTCACTTCTGATACCAATTGCAGGTTTAGAGGGTTCCCAAAACCACCCTCAGGTTTGATAATTCACTAGAAGGACTCATAGAACTCACTGAAAGCTGTTACACTAATGGATACAGTTTATTACAGCTAATGGATACAGTTTATTACAGTTAAAGAGATCAACCAAAGAAACAACTGCATACAGCAGAGTCCAGGAAAGTACCAAACACAGAGCTACCAGTTGTCCTCTTCGGGTGGAGTCAGGACACTGTTATTTTTCCATTATCAGTATGTGACAGTATGCACACATTATTGCCAACTAGGGGAGCTCATCTGAGCCTTGGCATCCAGAGTTTCTTTTGGGAGTCCATGATATAAGCATGGTTGACTGCCCACATGGCTTAGCTAAGTCTACAGACCCTCAGAAGATGGAGCTGATACTGTATGACCCCAAAATCCCACCTTACATCACATTATTGGTGTGGCTCAAAACTTCCATTCTAAATCACATTGTTACGATCTGGCTGGCCCAAGATCCCCACCCTAAATCACATAGTTGCTGTGGCTCAAAGCCCCCCCCCCACCCCCCCGCACTAAATAAAATACATTGTTACTGTCTGGCTGGTTCAAGGCCTCCAAGCAAACAAAGACATCCCTAGCAGGCATGACATTTTACGGGTTTAGAGATTACCTCACAGAAACCAAGGCAAAGACCAGACCTCTTGTTGGTTCAAGGTCAATTTCTTTACTACACAGGCCACCTGCTAGCCTTTGGCCAAGGCTTTCTTATAGCAAAATGATCATATGCCTAACACTTGGAGAGGGAATGGAATGATTTAAAGAAACAACTAATCTGTCCTGAAAGCTGTTACATACATTTTCATACCACTTTAGAAAAAAGTAAGAACTCTTTAAAATTCTTCTCATTATACATTTGTGTGTGTGCTTGTCTATGTGTATAATTTTGTAATTTACTATGGCCTGGAACAATCTAGCAATGAAACTTTTAAAACCACTTGTTGGTTTACTTTGTAATATAAATGACTGTAAGTATTTGAGTTATGAGTGTTGAGTTGAAAAAAGTCTAACTTTTATGAAAATCAGATTTTTTTTTTTAAGTAGCACTTGTGAAGGCTCACATAATTTGCACTGTCTAGTCTTTGGCTATTTGGCTTGAGATAATATATCTGGCAGCAAATGTTTTTCTACCTTTGTGAAAGTGTTGTAGATGGTACAGAGATTTCTACTGGAGTCACTCTACTTCTTGATGATTTCAGGTATTTAGAGGTAGAGTGGGAAGTCAAACGGAAAACTCATCGTGAATTTAGCAAAACAAGCATGGTGGACCTGTGCCCTAAAGTTCCTAAGCAAGATAATAGCAGTGATTGTGGAGTGTATTTACTGCAATATGTGGAAAGCTTCTTCAAGGTATGTGAAGATATAAATAAGTTGTTTATTCACAGTTACGAGCATAATCACAAATTAACTGGACAAGCAAAGAGGAAAATGTTACTGGTAATCATGAAAAAACAAAAAAGAAACAACAGAAATAGATTCACAGATGATCCAGATGTTGGAGTTAGCAGATTAAAATTTTAAAATGATCTGATTAATGTCTGAGAAAATAGAGGCAAAGATAAGCAAAATGGATGAAGAGATGGCTCTATTAAAAAAAAAAAAAAAAAAAACCAAATGGACATCCTGGAACTGAAAATGTTTAATGATATATCTGAAATTAAGAACTTATTGGATGGGTTTAATAGCAGATTGGATACTGCAGAAGACAGGATTAGTGAACTTGAAGATAGGACAATAGAAAATATCCGAACTGTAGTTCAGGAAAAAAGAATATAAAGAAGATAACAGAGCATAAGAGACAAGTGTGATACAGTCAGAAGGTCTGATTTACACGTAATGGATTCTTAGAAGGAGTGGAGGGAGAGGGGGGATGGGGGGCAGACCGGCAAGTAAGCATATTCAAGAAGCAAAGACAACCACAAGCTAGATAAGTACAGTGGCAAGAATGGGTGTTATTTTTTAGTTCATCAGAGTCTCTATAGGGACATTAAAGAAGAAATTTTAAATGGCAAGGAATCACTCTTTGTTTATTGAGCTGTCAACTCATTACTTAATCATTACTCTGTTATTTATGAAGACAGGTATGGGAGCAGGGCATTTTTGACCAGGAGCCTACCTGGAGAGTGCTTAAAGGTACTTATAAAGCATGAGGGTTACGGTATACAGTTACAGTTTTTGGCTTTTTTAGTATTGGGAAGGAATGATAATATATAGAAGAAGATGGTACACATGGAAACCATTAAGTATCTGATTTTTATTTTTTCCTTTTATTTCGTATTAGAGCTTCATCATAGAGTGACAATTCTGATTCTCAAATATTCTTTCCAAAAGATTTTCTATTGTTTCTAGAAGACTCAAAATGCCTTACTGTCTAACATGTTCTGAGTCTGCTACATAATTCTACTTTATATAACCTCATCAATAGAATATACTTCTAATATAGGTTGTAGCACCATGTAAGATTCCTGGAAAAAAAACAAAAAAACTAAACTTTGTGTTTTGCGAATTTGTGCAACAATATAACTGAGCTTAGGTTGAAAAAATTGGCTTGGGGCAGACTACTGAAAGCCTGTGGAATTTTGTAACCAAACCCTAGCAAAATAATAATAATTCTAATAAAAATACTAATACAGTTAAATTTCCACTAGCATTTGTTCCGAGAATTATAGTCAGTTCATCCTTTTAGCCTTATGTCCAGGGGCTCTTACTTCATTCAAGCTGTAAGTCCTTCTTATATCTCTCTTCTAATAGTCAGGTTCATCAAAATTATAAACATGATCCAGGGGTTACCTTCTTTAAACCTTTACTATTTTTTAAGCAGAGGGAAATGGTTTTGCATGTTCATCTATACTTATAGATTCCCCAGTTAACTTAACATACTGGAAAATGTAGTGGCTCTTGAAAACACTAACCCAGCCGTTTCTTGCAGTAAAAGAAGACACTTCTGCAGGATTTTCTATTTTTATCTGAAGAAGTTTTTCATATACTGCTAAGGATTTCTTTTTGTTTTAGTAGTTTCAAAATAATAGCATACTGCAAAAAATTGTGTTCAGACAACCTGACTTCTGCATTATGGTGAATCATTCCCCTATATACCAGTGCTGTTTGAGCTAATTTACTTAAGCATGCTAAACTCAAAAACTGGATTTTTTTAAATTTCATCATGTTTTTCTTTCTGAAATTAGAGAAACAAAGTAAAAGAAATACTGAAAAACAAACAAACAATAAACATTAGCTATCCAAGATAAGTTTTCATAGCAGAACACATGGTACTTAATTTTGATTTTCAAAAGTTAGCAATTTAATGAAAGTATTTTAAATTGATTATGATGTTGGTTGTACAACTCTGTGAGGATACTAAAAACCATTGAATTGTACGCTTCGAATGGGTGAATTGTATGGTATGTGAATTATGTTTCAGTAAAGCTTTTCTTAAAAAAAATTGTTTCTTGTTTCTTGTAAAAATGAAGTTGAAACAAAATTTGAAATTATGCTGCTAAAATGATTGCATTCTTTTTTTTTTTCTCTCATTAGGATCCTATTGTTAACTTTGAACTTCCAATTCATTTGGAGAAATGGTTTCCTCGTCATGTAATAAAGACCAAACGGGAAGATATTCGAGAGCTTATTTTGAAACTTCATTTACAGCAACGGAAGGGCAGCAGTAGTAGTTAATCTCTGTAAACATGACACAGATGTTCTACAAGATTACTGGAAAGCTGCTTACCAGCATTTGCATTAGCCAGCTCACAAAGAAGAGAAGTAACTTGGAGTAGTTTTATTTTATAAATCATTGAACATTATTTAAAATATATAAGATTTATTATTAGAATTGTTGGGATCTCAGACATGGGGAGGGAATTGGGGTGATGTAGATAAACTTACTAAATAGAAATTAAAATTTCATAAATATTTGATATTTTTCTGAGTGAATATGCTTGGATTATGCAATAGCATATGTAAGGTGACAGTGTTTTTGTAGATAATAAAACGATGTGATCTGTACTTCCTCATGACTGGGAGTTGAAGGGAGTTAGGCTCTTCCTGGTGCCAGCCCCAGTGCTTGTCAATTTTGTTGACAAGTCACATCATATTGTAATTCTGTTCTTTGCAGCTCAAGCATGCAGTATGAATACTGTGTATTTTTTTTTTTTTTTTTTTGAAGAATTTAGTATCAAGCCTTCAGAAAATGCCATTTACGGCATCCCTTCTGTATAGTGTAAAAGAAGACATTCATAATGTTAGGAAGATGAAAAATACTCATTCTTTCAAAGTAAAAATTCATTCTTTCAAAGTGCAGCTTATCATGTTTCTCAGTTGCTAAATGGAATTTACAATTTCTGCTCTAACTGTGATTTTTTTTTTTCCATTTCTTTTGACATCGTATGTGGGGATTTGAGAATTAATTGATTCAGGGTGACGTTTGGAATAAACTAAAAAACTGGATTTTTTTCTATTTCTTTTTTATGGTTTTCTTTCTGAAATTAGAGAAACAAAGTAAAAGAAATACCAAAAAAAAAAAAATTAGCTATCCAAGATAGGTTTTTAAAAATTATTTATGTAGCTGCTCCACTCAATGTAAATATTGACTCCTAAGTTATCCCAGAATATATGTATACAATTTCTATACATATAGAAGATAAAATCGGTGTCCTCATAACTTTAGCAAAAAAAAACCCCAAATTTCCCAAAGTACTATTTATTAATTGTTAGAACTAAGTGTATAATTTTATACCTCTGTTTACCCAGTATTCATCTGCAAGGCCAGATTGTTCTCATTGCTTTTATATTTTTTAGATGGTGGTTTTTAGAGACCTGTGATCCCCATAGAGCTTAATTTTTTTAGGTAACAGTTCTACTGAATTCATGTGATGATGGTGGTATTATATCTGACTAAACACTTCAGAACTTTCTGATTTACTCTAACGTTATCAGGAATATATTGTATTTTCTCAGATAAGAAGAATGTTCTTTTAAGAATATTATTTTAATCTTATGCTTTAAGCAACTCTTGAATTTACATTGTAACTGTATATAAAGCAGTGAAACAAAGACAATTTAAGATAAGGCTAAAAAGGCTGAGCATTTTATTTCAAAATCATGTGAATTGAGGTTGTCAGTTAAGCCTTAGTGTCCTTAAGCTTTTATTGATCTGGTCACCATCTTTATATTGTTAAAGATATTTGTCTTTTGGAGATTCATATAAAGATGGTTATAATTATATAATTCATTCCTAATTTATGTGTGTATGTGGGGGTACTTTTTTAGGTGACTATTTTTAATTATTTTTTACATCTAATTTTGGGTACAGCAGGTATATAAGACAGCTTCTTGTGATTTCTTAACTTTTTCATTTGTGTGTTTTTCAAAGATACCACTGTTGTTTATCATGTTTTGAAGATTGTTTAAAATTCATTTTCCTAAATTCATGTGGAAATAATGCTTTGAAAATATCAACATTTTATATTAAACGTGTTTCCAATTAATTAAATAGAAGTGTAATTTTTTTCTTAATAAACTTGAGCAGTCACTACAAATGAATTTCAAATTATATGCTATCCAGTGAATATCTTATAACCGATGCTTAAATTAATTTTTCATCCTATTTTAACAAACTTGTGGTTAATTTGAATGTCATTTTGATTCAGGAAACATTTTGAGCATCTACTATTAGCAGGCATGTACCACAAAAAGAAAAGAAAGCTATTATTCCTGTAGCATTTATAGTCTAATAGGAGAATGGCCACATGAACAGTTTCTTTGGGAGCACAGAGGGAAACAGCCTAAAGATGTGTGTGTGGATGTGTGTGTGTGTGGATGTGTGTGTGTGTGCATATGTATCTAGTGGATAGTGAGAGGGTTGTCTGTGGAAAGGGAAAGCCTACCTAGAGAAGATAATGCTACTGTTAATTCATAACTCTTGGGATTTTAAAAAAATGGTAGTTTTCTTTTTAAATCCTACCCAATCATTTAACTAGGACTTAGAAGAAGTTTAAACCCATTGCTGTCAAGTCGATTCCAACTCATAGCAACCTATAGGATAGAGTAGAGCTGCCCCATAGGGTTTCCAAGCCTGTAATCTTTATGGAAGCAGACTGCTACATCTTTCTCCCGCAGAGCAGCTGGTGGGTTCAAACTGTTGACCTGTCAGTTAGCAGTTGAGCTCTTAACCACAGTGTCACCAGGGCCCCTTAGAAAAAGCTCAATACCACTTAAAATCAACTACTTATGTGGGGAGGGAAGAAAGGTCATATAAAGCCCTTCCTAATCTTGTTCCAACTTATGTTCTGTCCTCCTCCTGTATTCCACTGTCCCCGTACTTTTAAGTCATATAATATTTATTCATTGTGCTATAAATACTTTTGTGTTAGCAACAAGCTTAAATGTTTTTCTCACAGGAAAACGATCTTAAGTTTTCTTTCGATACTGTTTCTTTGGAAATATGTTGGGATAAGGTGAATGTGGATTGGTAGCTGTCTTCAGGATTTTTTTATTGTGGAAAAACAACCCTTAAAACCGTTGAACTGGTTGTGGACTGGGAGAACTGTGAAGGAACATGTCCACTCTGAGGACCTAACTGACCAGAACTGTATAAAACTCAATTGGAAAGCTTATGCCTCTGCTTGCCTCTTATAACTGAGGTTGTCTTTGTGGAAGTTTGGAAACTTTGTTCATGTGCTGCTAGAAGACGTGGTTCTATGTGTATGAGGCTTCCTTATGCTAGTATGACCTTACAACTGATTGCATCTCTTATACGGGCTGGAAATCAGGATCAGGACTCCTATAAGGAGACTCCAGATGAAGATGTACTTTACTTGATACTATCATGATAGCATTCTGTGTTTCCTGTACTGTATGTATTCTTCTACAGACTAAACCTAGAACCATGCTATGAACTATTGTCCTATGAGTGTGAATGTGACTTTAAATCCAAGACTATAGATGGTTGTGTGGAGTGGCATTGCAATATTGTACCTCCACACTTGCCTTGCACAATTTATTTCCTCTTCCTGGCCCACTCTTTCACTACTGTGAACTTTATTTTTTCAAAATCTAGCTCAAATGTCACACACCTCTAGGAAAGCTTCCCCACAGCTGCTCACACAGAATAATTCATTCCCTCTTTTGCTCTCCAATAACAATTTCTATATACTTCTCATTGTTTTTATTATCTGTGTGTACATGTTTTTCCTTTTATATTACAAGCTTCTCAAGGACTGGAAACATTTTACTTTTCCTGTATTTAGTATGTCAGTAGCATATGGTAAACATTTTGAAAATTTTTCTGAGTCAATAAATGATCCTTAACTGGTTTGGAATTAAGGTATGAATGGAGGAATTTGGTACTTGTTATCTATGCTAAAGCACAGTTTTATCTTTTTTTCTTAACCTGCTTATGGTTTCGGGACATTTTTTGAAGCATAACAAGGTTCAAGGGCTATCACGAGACCTTGAAATGTTTCCCAAAAAGAATCTCCTTAAATAAAAATTTAAGAAATATTTTTTCTCAATAATTGTATGTTAGATAATCTTTCATTTATAAATGAAAAATCCAAAATTCTGTTATGACTTCTAAGGTATTTTATAATCTGTCTCAGCCTTTTCAGCCTTCATTCTCAACCAGGGTTTTGAACCAGTTGATTCTGGTTCGAACCCTTGCTGATAATTTGCATTTCTAACAAGTTCCCTGCTGATAATCTGCATTTCCACTCCAGATATACTGAACCAGAATCTACATTTTAACAAGATCCCCAGGTGATATATAACTTCCTGGGGAGTGTTAGAAATGCAAATTCTCAGCAGGGGTCTTAACTGGAGCGAACTGATTCCAAGTCCTGTTCTCAACCTATTTATGCTGTGCTCCTGTTCCTACTCTAACAAATTACTTCCCATTTTCCATATAAACAGTATACTTTTCCATCTTACTGTCAGTGATCATGACCAGAAACTTCTTTCCTAGCTCCTAGTCCCTCCCACCTACCACCCCCACCTCTGCCAATGTAATGCCACCCAGGCCATTCAAGACCTGGCTGAAACGTTGCCTTCTCCAGTAAACTCTCTCCACTTTTCCAGTTGGAATTAATCTTGCTTTTGTGTTCCCATGGCACAACCTTATCGTAGTCATCACCTATGCTTTGTATAATAGGTATAGTTATTATAACGCTGCAGTTAGAAGTTATAATTGTATCAAATACCAAGTTAAAATGAATTTATAAACTGATGAACCTATTTATGAACAAATGAACCCCCTGAATTTTTTATTTTTTGAAGCAGTGGAGGTTTCTACAGTTTACAAACTGTATTTTAAAGAAAATAACATTTTAAAAGTTCTTAAGTAAATTCCCTATTTGTAATATAGGGAAATTTTATTCCATTCTAGAGCTTGAACAAAAGAGAATTCCAAAGCATGAAACCGCTTTAGACTTTATGAACAATTGTAATACAAGACAAATAGTACATAGTACATTAGTTTATAAAGAATTTTTATATTTCCTGATTCTTACAACCTTGTAATATAGGCAGAGATTATATATTTTATTGATGAGTTAACCAGCTCAAAGAGTTTAGGGGATTTGCCCAAGATCAAACCAGGATTTGAGCCCAAGTTTTCTGAATCTAAGTAAAGGAAGGACTCAGAATACCGTGATGCTCAGAAGATTTTTCTGACATCAGAAAGAATAATTTCTAACTGATTTTTTTACCTAAAAATTTTCTTTTGTTCTGAATTGTAAACATCAAGCTTCTCTTGAGACTTTAAACATTGACTTCTTTGTAAAATCTTCAGCTTTTTTCCTCCCATTCTGACAATAAAGTTCGGCAAGTAATTTCTTAGAAGCATACCAATATTTTGCAAATGCCACTATGCACATGTTTTTAATGATGGCTGTTTAGATTTGTTAGCTTTTATAAATGATGAAAATGTGGTTTATTTGAGGCTGTATTGAGAATTATACCTGATGAATTTTTCCTGAAGATAAAAGAACATTGAGGATGATTTAGCTAACACAGTTTATGATTCTCAAGAGAAATGTGCTTTAGACTTTTATAAAATACTTTTAGGTGAATTTCCCCAAACGTACATGAAGTAAGATTTAAATTCATTGCTATTTGATAGTAAATCCTGGCTTCCATGGGGATTTTGAATAATTGTTTTCTACTAGGTATATTTGATTAAAACAACTGCCCTAATACAGAGAATTTCATCTGATCCCATTATGGTAAAGGAAATCCTCTCTTAGTTAAGAATTTCACATGTAGAAAAACACACTGGGCTTCATGTTTGATAGCACATTAAGCACCAAAGTTACCACATGGCTGTCATTTATATTAAGTACTTAATATGTGCCAACCACTATCCTTAGCATTTTCTATATATTAACTAATTTGATCTTCACAACAGCTCTACCATGAGTTAGCTTTACTTTTCCTATACCATTTTATAAACAAAAGAGACATAGTAAGTGGTTATAGTGAAAGATTTTCAAATTCCTCTTCAAGGAGGGAAATTTGCAAGACAGGGCTTTATTACAAAGACAGATAGTTCCAGGAAAATAAAATTTTGTTCTGTCTTCTGGCATTTGATGCTTATACATCTTAAGCCATAGAAGAATTAAAACACATGTGAATCAGATTCAGAAAAGTTGTATAAACTCAGTGAATTATATATGAACATATTCTTAAGTAGACTGCTTGTAAAAGGCAAAGAGTGTTAGTAAAGAGCTTAGCTAGCTAGATTAAAGAAATTGTCTCTGCCCATCTGTTCTAATTAGCTTACCTCTCCCGCTTTCATAGCATGTTGATTATTTCAGGAAAGAAGTGAGAGCTACCTTTGAAAGGACACCATTTTTATCTAAGCTAATTTATAACGGTTTTCTATTTACAAAAAACTTTTGAATGCTAGAATTTTCCTGTAACAATTTGTTATAGGAAGTTTCAAGGCTTTGGGTGCCCAATTAAGGATTTTGTCCTCTTCATTCCTTTGGTTTTAGCCCAAATGATTATGTTTCCTCTTTTTGGAAAGACTTTTCTGGGTATTTTGATATTTGTCCTGATAAAAGGAAACCTATCATTAACAGGTATTTTTAAATTTAATTTGTTTTTATCTCTCTGTATATCTGTAGTAGATTCTTTCTAAAAATAGCATTCTTTGATGTGATTAGTAAGAAATTGATATTGCTTCATGTAAACAGTTTCAGATCTTTCCAATAATTTTAGCTCTTCATTACAAATTTCTGTTGTAAGCCTTGCTTTCCCTTATTTATTGTGTTGAAATTGGATGTATACTTGATTTCAATAATAATCTTGAAATAAAGGAGTGGAAATGAAATAGAAAAAAAATTGAATGATTCACTCCTGTCTTCCTTAGATAGACACATGTCTGTAAGCTGAGCGTTGACTGCAAAATCCAAATATTACACAAACGCCAGTATTTCTTTGTTACCTTTCATGCTATATCTTATTCATCATCAGAAGCCTGGTTATGTTTTCACTCTGTAGCACAAACCTTATCTTTTGAGGAGATCCAAGAACCCAAGAGTTCATTTTCTTTTCTCCTCACGGACTCGGAATCCACAGATCCTTCTCTATCTACTGAAAAGAAACAACCTCTGGACCACAGAGAAGCTGAGAGACAGTGGTTGCTCAGAAGAAAGAGATCTCTGTTTCCTAACGGAGTAAAAATCTGTCCAGATGAAAGTGTTGCAGAGGCTGTGGCAAATCACGTGAAATATTTTAAAGTCCGAGGTAAGCTAACACACACAGCCCACTGCTGCAAACCCTTGAGCTTCATACATGAAATTCAAACATAGTTCTATCACACTTGTTATATCTCATTATAATTCAAAATTTGTGATAATTTAGACAGGGACTGAGCCAATTCTTTCTAGTAGCTATGGAAAAAAGGATTTACTAAGAATATAGTATTAAGACAGTTTCAGAGGAAAGTTTACATTATTTTAAGAGAGTGAGTATTTTAAATCTTTTTAAGCATTTCAGGAATACTAACTAATGTTACTGGATAAATTATAATTTTTACTTCTTCATTATAGTAATTTGCTTAAGTGTGCCCACATAATATACTTACCAAGGTATGCTTACCGGTTGGCCTAATTTAGTTATTTTATATACATGAAAATATAATCCATTTCTATGTTTTATAGTTTAGTCATTCCATAGATTTCATGCTGGTTGCTCCCTAGTTGGGCTACATAAATCTTTATCTGTCTAAAATGATGGCACTTCTCACAATGTAACCTAGAGCAACAACAACGTGAATTTTATTTTTTAATTAAACAGTGTTATCTTTGATCTCATATTTTTTATGTGTATTCATTCTCTGTTTCTCATATATACTAACTGAAAGATATAGATATCTCAGTGTATAACAGTGACAATATCCCTTAGACATTTGGAGCACTCACAGACATTGCTTTTTGCTGCTGAAGAGCCAATAAGAAGCTAATTATTGGTATCATGCTAGTAAACTAAAGTGGAGATAGATGACTAAATGATAGTGAAATCAGGCTTGTTGAAATATTCATTTTACCCAATTTTCAAAAACATAACAAATGAAATACTACTCTTTACCATGACAGTAAGAGCCAAATCAGCATTGTTGTAATCTTGACGTGCTGTGCCAAACATTTTAGCTCTACGAGGCCCCTCATCAATGATCCCATTCATAGCGTCTGTATTTTAAAATCAGTTATTCCAGGAATGCTTTAAATTTTTTATTTGCTTTCTGAAATAATATCTCTTGAATCTATAAAAACTCAGACAAAGCAATTAAAAAGCATAACCATATACCTTTAATGATCGGTTATTTCCTCTTCACTGCTTAACCAGCAGTTGAGATAGCTATATATTTTGATCTATCTGAAAATAAAGTAAAAATCAGGTAATAGAAATCATATCTTGATAAATTATAAATATCATTTTCATTTTTATTCAGTTCCTTTACTCTCTCTCCACTCTTTGGATTCTTCCACTTTTGGTATACTGGTATGCCCTGTCATGGTAAAGAGTAGTATTTCATTTGTTAGGTTTTTGAAAATTGGGTAAAATGAATATTTCAGCATAGGTTTTGATTTTGAAGAGATAGATTTGAGATGATTATGCCCTTAGAGAGGTTATGCCCTGGAGAAGGACATGATAGTTGGTAAAGCAGTGGGCCGACAAAAAAAAGGGGAAGACCCTTAACAAGATGGATTAACCCAGTGGCTGCAATGGACTCAAACATAGCAACGACTGTGAGGATAACACAGGGCTGGGCAATGTTTCATTCTGTTGTACATAGGGTTGCTATGATTTGGAACTGACTCATCAGCACCTAACAACAACAACAGCGACATGCCCTGAGAAGCAAATGTTTGAAATTGGAGGGAGGGATGCATTCGATGTCCAATCAAGGATCTTAGCTATTTCCACCAAGCTAAGCCATTATTCTAATGGCTTGCCCAATTTTTTCTTCATAGATTATTTGGCATTAATTGCTAGTTGGAGAAACAAATTTTGAAAAGTATATTCATATAACCAAGAAACAGCTGCATTTTAACCTAATGATTTGTAAAATTGACCAGATATTTAGGGCACTTGGAGTGCAGTGTAATTAATAGTCTCCTTCCCCTCTTCTTTAAAAAATCATATTTGTGGTTGGACCTTTTAGAATACAGCTTTACTGAGGTATACTTGATGGATTATAAACTGCACACATTTAAAGTGTACCATTTGATTAGTTTTGACAAATATATTTACCCTTGAAACTATCATTACAATTAAGACAGTGAATTTACCAATCACCCCCAAATGTTTTCTCATACCCCTGTATAATCCCTCCCTTCCTCATTGCCTCCCCTTACCATAGAAAACAGACGACCATTGATCTGCTTTCTATTACTATATAATAGTTTGCAGTTTTAACAGTTTTGTATATAAACAAAATCAAATAGTATATACTTTTTTTTTGGTCTGCTTTCAATCAGTGTACTTATTTTGAGATTCATCTGTGTTTTTTTTTTTTTGTTTTTTGGGGTGTGTGTGTGTCAATAATTTGTTACTTTTGTTGGATAGTATTCCATTTTATGGATATACCACAATTTGGGACATTGGGCTATTTTCAATTATTGGTGATTACAAATAAAGCTGTCATAAACATTTGGGTACAAATCATTTTATGAACATACACTTTCATTTCTGTTGGGTAAACACTTAGGAATGCATGGCTAAGTCACATGATAGGTGTAGGTTTAGGAAATTGCCAAACTGTTTTCCTGTGTGATTGTATTGTTTTACATTCCCACCAGCAATGTATGAGGGTTTTAGTTTCTCCACATCCTTGCAGTACTTGGTATGGTCAGCCTTTTTTAAATTTAGCCATCCTAGTGGTTGTGAAGTGATATCGTGATTTTAATTTACACTTCCTTAATGACTAATGATATTGAACCTCTTTTCATGTGCTTATTTGTCATTTGTATGCCTTCTTTGATGAAGAAGAGTCTATTAAAATGTTTAGTCTATTTTCTAAAAAATTGAGATGTTTGCCTTATTATTGAGTTGTAAGAGTTCTTTATGTATTGTAGATAACAAGCTGTTTGTCAGATACATGTTTTGCAAATATGTTTTCCCATTCTGTGGCTCATCTTTTCATTTTCAGTTTTGGGGAAGTCTAATTTATCTTTTTTTTTTTTTTTTTAATCAGCCTTTTGGTGTCATATCTAAATTTGCCTAACTCAAGGTCACAAAGATTTTCTCCTCTTTTCCTGTAGAAGTTTTTTAGTTTTATGTTTTACGTTTAGGTCAGTGATCCATTTTTTTTTTTTTTTAATTTAAAAAAATTGTACTTTAGGTGAAAGTTTACAGAACAAATAGTTTCTCATTAAATAGTCAGTGCACATATTGTTTTATGACATTGGTTAACAACCCCATGACATGTCAACCCTCTCCCTTCTTGACCTTTTTTTTTTTTGGTGAAAATATACATAGCCAAAGATATACCATTTCAAAAATTTCTACATGCACAATTCAGTAACATCGATTACATTTTTCCAGTTGTGCTGCTATTCTCACTTTAGATGAAGGTTTATAGAACAAAATAGTTTCTCATTAAACAGTACACATGTTGGCTTATGACAATGGTTAACAACCCCACTACATGTCAACACTGCCCTTATTCAACCTTGGGTTCCCTATCACTAGCTTTCCTGTCCCCTTCTGCCTTCTAGTCCTTGTCCCTGGACTGCTGTGCCTCATTAGTCCCGTTTTGTTTTATGGGGCTGTCCAATCCTCGGCTGAACAGTGAACCTCAGTAGTGACTTCACCACTGAGCTGAAAGGGTGTCTGGGGGCCATACTCTTGGGGTTACTTCAGGCTCTTTCAGGCCAGTAAATCTGGTCTTTTTTTAAAGTGTGTGAGAATTTTGTTCTACATCCTTCTCCAGCTCTGTCCAGAACCCTCTGTTGTGATTCAGTGATCCATTTTGAATTAATTTTGTGTATGGTATGAGGTATGGATCAAAGTTAAAAATTTTTTTTTTACATATAAATAGCCACTTGTTCCAGCACCATTTGTTAAAAAGAGTATCCTTTCTTGCTTTTGCACATTTGTTGAGAATCAGTCTTCTATATATTCTATTCCATTGATCTATTTCTCTTTTTTTATGCCAACCCCATACTGTCTTGATTACTCCAACTTTGTAATAAGTCTTTGAATCAGATAGTGTAAATTCTTTAACTTTGTTCTTCTTTTTTCAAATTTATTTGGCTATGCTAGGTCCTTTGCATTCCATATAAACTTTAGAATCAGCTTGCTAATTTCTACAAAAAAGTCTGCTGGGATTTTGATTGGGATTGTGTTGAAGCTATAGATCAATTTTGGGAAGAATTGTCTTAACAGCACTGAATCTTCTGATCTATGAACAGGATGTATTCCTCCATTTATTTAGATCTTCAGTTTGTCTCAACAGTGTTTTGTAATTTTCAGTGTACAGGCCTTGCAAATCTTTTGTCAGATTTATCTCTAAGGATTTCATATTTTTTCATGCTATTGAAAATAGTATTTAAAAAAATTAATTTCTGATCTTTGTTAGTATATAGAAATATAACTGATTTTTGTATGTTGACTTTTTACCCTGCAACCTTGCTAACCTGACTTATTCTAACAGGTTTTTTTTTTTTTGTAGATTACTTACACAGACAATTATCCTGTCTATGAATAAAGGCAGTTTTACTTAGTTTCCAACCTGTGTGCCATTTATTTCTTTTTCTTGCCATACTGCACCAAATTAATCGCTCCATATGCTTTGGGCTCCATAGCACTGAAAGGAAACTAACCCATTGCCGTCGAGTCGATTCTGACTCATAGCGACCCTATAGGACAGAGTAGAACTGCCCCTAAGAATTTCCAAGGAACGCCTGGTGGATTCGAACTGCCGACCTTTATGGTTAGCAGTCGTATCACTTATCCACTATGCCATATTACCCTAAAAAAGACTTCTTTCCATATTACATTTCTATATGCTAGATAAGACACACAGCCTGAGCCCTATTAACAGGGTTAAAGACAGATTAAATGCTGACATTTTTTTCTTCAGAAAGCTGTCATGTTTTCCCTTCCCCCACCTGTTTCCAGGGCAAGGTATCTTTGCCAGAAGAGAGGTATTTGTAGTTACTTAGATTTTCAAAAACAGTAATTAAAAGCTACAAAAATTTTTCAACAAGCATAGGAAAGCTGTACTCTAAATTTGTTTT